CGAGTGCTACACTTATTGCTACACCACTAGCACGCACACGCAATACCATCTGGTACTGCAGGTGTTCCTGTGAGGTTAACACTGATAGCAGTGGCCATTACTCGAGCAGGAATAATGCTGCTGTTTAGTCGTCCTTCCGTGACGGATGAAAGGAAAACGAGGGACAGAGACTGGCTGCCTTCGCTTCCTGCAGCCTTCATCAGAGATGACATGCAAGGGCTAATTATTAGTTCATCCACTGAAAGCCCGCTATAGTTTCCAGTTACAGGATGACTGCTACGGATGAAGGATGCACAAACAGGACACACATAACTGAGAACTCGTCTCTTCGCAAGATTTACACCCATTTTAAAGCGAACCTGTCAGGTTTCTGGGAGGTCAATCATCATTTGAGCTGGCTTTGCCCGTCACCGAGATCACTTGTCTCGTACCAGTTCATCTGAAGAAGACACCATGACGCTACTTCACATTTGGCATCTCTGTGGTCTCTCTGCCACCGCGGTAGCGCCTACACTTTCCAGGGGAGTTGCCCTTTCAAAGCAATGCCAAGTGCAGAGGTGTGCAGGTGACATGCACCTGGAGGATCTCAGCCCATTTTAACTCTAGAGACAGATCAAGGTGGATCCCTGTCACCTGATTTTGGACACTCAGAGCACCAACTGACTGCCTAAGGCCTCTTTGTGTCCTATTGGCTTTGTGAGCATTGCTATTACCACCATTTAACTCTAGTGCATCGCTTTCCTTCTCTCTGCTGCTAACCTCCCTGGCTAGCCGCAGAAGTTTGCGGGCCATCTCAGACAAAGCAACCCGCCTCAAGGCTACGTGGGAGGCTGCATTTTAGGTGAGGATCACAGAAGTGTAGAGTTAGCCTGGAAAGGCTTGCAAACAGCTCACTCATATTCACAGTTTGGCTGTGTGGTCTCTTTGTGTGTGGCCTGTTGTCTAAATGGAGGCCCCTGATGTGATGCTACTGAGAGACAGGCTCAAATAAATGCCCTTTAGGGCAACTGGACCGAAGTGTCTATACATGTTTCTAGGACATTGCATCCAGGTTTCCCCCTCTTATGCTTTGTACCCATGACTCCAGAACTGCCAACTCAAAATCATGGATGCCCAGGACCAGGTCAGAGCAGCAATAAGGCAGCCCTGGAAACACCAGCCTGTTATGGGAAGACTATCACTCTGAAAATTGCTACAGGCCCACAAGATCATCTTTGGCACTGTGCCAGGACTTACCCTTAAGCAGAGATAATGCAGATAATTACGTATTGTGTGCACCTAGTCATGTCAGCACTGCTTCCACCCCTGTGGAGGCCTACGCACCAGTGATCTTATTCACATGCTACGCCCCTGTGCTTGGGCCACTCTGCTTTCCACTGCATGTGTGGGGGAGCAGGTCCCTACACCACAGAAGCCAAGTCTGCCTGCAGCCAGACACCTCGGCCATTG